CATGCAGCTTAATGTGGATTTAAATGTCAAACTTGTTCTGTGCCTCACTAATTAACAGTTTCAGACCCACTAACTTCAGTCTTAAATTAGGTCTGGTCAGATAGGAAGGCACCCTGCCCAAGTGCAGCTAGTGCCCATGCTGGGACTTGGGTTTCCTTAATGTTTGCCTTAATCTTGCCATGACTGTGTAGACCTGTCGGGATGTAGCATTGCAGGGTCTGACGTAAGACTATCTTCACTTTTAAGCGAGGCTATTTCCCATTTACATGAAAGGAGAAATGTTGCTATGATAATCCAGAGCGTGCCTCTGGTCTGTGAGCCCAAACAGGCAGTTTTTAGTAAAGAAAGGAGAGATGCTGGAAGGATAAGAAAATGCCTGACCTTATGTCTGCTGCAAAGAAAGATCACACCTTATTGCCCCAGGGAAGACTGGTTTGGGGAGTTGGTCTTGGATGATGATGGGACTTATTTCCTCCTGGACTTCTTGATGGTGGGGAACATGTGATAGCGTGACCATGGCATTGGTAGCTTGTTCTACCACGGCAAGTTCTTTTTAAATTGTGTAAACTGAGCATGAATGGCCCTCTTGGTATTTCTTAGTGAAGTAGTGTCTAGTTACATATATGCTGAAGGAGAACTTCAGCTCCTCTGAAGTAAGCGGGGAAGTTTGCAGCCCTTAGCACTAGAGCTTCCTGCAGAAATAATTTCAATCAATGAATTAACTCAATCTCAGAAGCTTTCCATCACAGACTGGAGATGAAAAAGCTGATACCTGTGATCTGGAGATCAAGTGCCATCAGAGGGAGCAGGAGGCTCCTGTTAGCAGGTCAACCTAATCCCAGTGGTAAGCTTGAGTGTGTTGGTTTTGGTTAGTGAAGTACTGCTAATTTCAGACATCAGTGGCAATGTTTTTCCAAAAATGACAGCCTGGCTAGTTGTCAAAATATGATGATCCCTGTAAGTCATCTGACAGAGTTTGTCCAGATTTGATCATGTGCTGTCTTCCAGAGAGCCAAGACCTGGTATACTGAGAAAGGAAGGTCTGAGAGCAGGTGGAGGTGACTTGTCAGAGAAGTCTCCTCACTCTAATAACACACTGAAGAAACCTGTGGAGCTTGCACCTGCAAACATCCCCTGCTGAAAGATGTTTTTTGTCCTGCGAGGTTTAATCTGGAGGCAGGATTAAAGGATAGCTGCAACCCCCACTCTGTCCACAGGATGAACATGTATTTGGTTGGTTGTTCAAGTTGGGTAAACAGGGTAATATCGCAGTATCCCAAAATGTCACATGTTGCTTTTTTTGTTCATAAAAAGGCTGGAAAATGCTATGGTTAATCTTTACATTGGTAAGTCTCTTGGTAAGACCCAGCATACAAACCCTCGTATGGAAAATGTGCAACTAAAACATTGCTCTGAGATTTGTGTATTCTTGCTATTCACAAATACATTTTGTGCATTTCTAGGCAGCGTATAAAATACATAACTAAGGACATGAGAAGCAATTATAAAGGATGCTGAAGGCATCTTGGTTTCATGCACTAGGATGTAGAAACATTTCCTTGCTTATGTGTCTCCTTGTTTCTGAGATATGTATAAGGCTGAAGCCACACCAAAGAGTTGCCCTCCTTTTTTAATAACAAAATAAAAATAAATTTGCCTTTCCACACCCAGTAGTGAGGATTTCTTTGATATTGTCCTTTTAAGAAAACTGTACTTCCTTGCCCCTTTCACTTACCGAAGGGTTAATTGTCACATGTGCCTCTTGCGGTGGGTAGGGATGAGCAGCATCGTTTGTTGTTGTCTTTGTTCGTTGGACTGTGCAGCACCTCCTTCGGTTCAAGGAAACAGGCCTCTGCTAGGTGAAGAGAGTGCAAGGCAACTTAGGAGTAACCCTCCTTTTGGGAGTACATCGATGCCTCATTAGGAGGGAGTGAGTGAGTGCAGCAGGCTGGTGAGCCAGGCAGGTGGTGGTGGACTGTAGGTGTGTGCATGGCATCTCTTCTAGCTGCAGCTCTTGGCATGGGGACTCTCTTCAGCACGGTCCAGCGGTGCTGTAAACGGAGGAGGAAGAAACGATCGGAGTGGAAAGGTTAGTGTTTTAATTGCTGCACAGCCGAAACAAAGTATGGGGGGTGGGTGTTGTAAGTGTAGCATTTTTAAGGTGAGGTTTGAACCTTCATTGTGAAGTGCAACTTCCATGTTTTCTGTTTGGATTTATAGGGTAAAAGACATATTTTTGGAGAATCCTTCAACATCTCCCAACATTTTATTTCACTTACCTTTCAAAGTTGGGAGGGAGAGTACTTTTTAACAAAGATGAAACTTCTCTAAAGCTGCAGCTTTCTGACTTCTACTCCCTTCTAATAATAGTTTTGTTTCATCTGCCAAGTTACCTTTTTTTTTTGCATTTATGCCATTCTCTTTTAACATAAAACATTGGGTAGCTGCTAAATTTTCCTTTCAAAGTATATCTAGTTCTTCCTCAATGATGAGGATAAACCAAGATAGTTAAGAGTCCTTCACAACTTTTTTTGTGTGCAGTGAATACACAGAATATTCAAACAAAAGAAACACAAGTTACATCTCTCTTTGTACTCATGTAGCGTGTAATTGCTATAGCCAACATTTGGTTAAAAATCTTTCAAGTAGTCTCCTGGGGTAATAAAAGCAAATAGTGTTGTGTTGGCTAGTACATTTTGAAGTACTTTTGGTGTTCTTCCTGTCTTTGGAAATATTCTATGGGAAATAGAGACTTCAAAGCCAGGAGAGATATAGAAGTGTAAATGTACTGTACTTTTTCATTACTCCACTTAAATTAGAATACATTTAGATGTCATTTTTCTGTTTGATGTGGCCAGTGTGTAATGCGTTTAGAAAAGGAAAGCTTTTTGCAGTAGTGCTTGTAGTCTAAATATTGCAGGATGCTATGCAGAATCACTTGACTCCAGTGAGTGTATTTAGCTAACAGCTGAATTGTGGTTTGTCGCTCCATGTTAAAAGAAAAAAACCCCTCTATTACACAAGCATAGTACAGTTGAAACCTGGATTTATTTTAGCAGTATACCTGAGGGAAAACAGTTCATGCAGCCAAGGACCAGGCTTTCTCCACAGTCCTATTCCACATACAAAATGTGGTATATCCACTGACCCAAATCAGTTAACTAATATTTATGTCAATTATCCTTTGTTGTTATTTTTGAAAGCTCTGTAAATTTCTGAGCAGCAATTAAACTTTTTCCTTTATTCATACATATTTTTTCCCAAGTAAAAGTTTTTCAGTGCTCTCAGAGAGTGTTACTCTAGTTGTGTCACTTAGCCCAGAGCAGGTTTTTAGGAGTAAAGCTTGAGAGTTTACTCACACCTGCTGTCTGAGGCAAATGCATGGCTTCAGTGGAGTCCTTTTGGAAGCTGTCCTTGCTCAGATGCCACCGGTGATTAGCAAGCCTCAATGCTGAAGCAGTGCAGAGACTTTGTGCCTGTAGGACCTGAGAGGTTTCTGGATGTCTGTTGCTAAATGCATTATTTACAAGCAGTGAATGAGTTTATTATTGCAGTTTTGCTGCATTATGAAAGCGGCTCGAATAAAAGTTTAAGAGGTCGAAGAAGTCAAAAATGCTGTTCCTTCTTCAAATTTAAATGATAACTGAATTATTAATGATGCCAGAAGTAATCAAGCATGCCTTGGCAAGAGAGGAAGCTCTTTTCTGTGGTGAGCAGCCTGGGTTCAGAGCTCTTTTTCTGAAAAAATCTACCCCCAATTTCTGAAAGCATATGTGGGCCCTATGTTACATGGTCTTCTTGCTGTAGTGATGTTCTTGGAATAGGGGGGTTGTAATGAAAAATACACAGCTTCCCAGCATAGCTTCCTACATGTGGTGCTCTAAAAGAGACTTCAAGTGTACTATACTCCTTGCTTTAGGCATCAAACTCAAATCCTAGCCTAGGTAGGACAGTTTTAGAGTAGGGTCAGCATAGATCAGTTGAACAGTTGTTTGCCAAGCAAAGGGAGGAGTCTATGGATGATTTTGGAGTCCGTGAACCAAGAATCTGTATCTGTTAGTATGCTAAAATGTTATATGTCTTTTCCTAGCTATACTCTGCCTGGGAAGATGGTGTGTGCACAGCTTTGTACACAGTGGGGAATGTGCATTGTTGAGTTGAAATGTAGTGATGGGATCACGTAGGTGGCACAATGCAACTGCATACACTGTCCTGAACCTTTTCAGCTCCATGTAGGGTGAGTTTTGGTGCCTGCAGCATGATGTCTAGGGTACCAAAACATGGGAAAGCATGGGGTGGAGATGCAGTCAGCCAAGCTTGGCTGGGGTCTGTGCTAGGTGACTTCTGCAAAAGAGCAGGTCAGCGAGGAGAGCAAAACAGGAGTAACCTGCTGTTGCAGTCCTGGGTGCTGTGGGGAAATGCTGAACACTGCTCATTTTTCTCAAGTGTATTTTTATAAGGAAGGGATTGGGAAAAAACGTCGTCACCCATTCTACGCCAAGAATATATTTAGCCTAAATCTTAAACACATGCGGTTAAACCTTAAAAGGATGCAAACGCTTCATTAGAAAATGTGGACAGACAGCTTAGTGTCATTTGGCTGCATTATTTATTACTCTAGCACCTCATCTCTTACATGCCTTACAGCTCTTCTGTCAACCATCCTTCTTCCTGACTGTTCATCTTAATTGATGCTTCCTAACTCTGTTTAGCACAGTTACTTAATTTTTTTTTTTTAAATGGATCTGTGTAAATTCTGTCGCTTACAAATTTCAGTAATGCCACCAATGGTCTCCATTAATTTATACAAATAATTATGCAACTGGAGTTCCTGTTTACCTATGCTTTTAGCAGACAGGAGCTTGCTTTTCTTCTGCTTCAGGCTGGAGGAGCAGAATGTTCAGCTGTGGGGATGTGGTGCTGAGCCCAGACTGATAACCCAGCTCCTCAGGAGGGTTTATCTCTTGTACAGCAGCGTGAGGCAGCTGTACAGCATTTCTCACTTCTGGCTCAGCTCAGGTAGCTCACTGATCACCTCTGTAATAATTCAAAAAGGAATTGTCCAAGTCTTTTGTCCTTGAGCAAGCCATGGTGCTGCAGGAGTAACTGGAGCCAGTTTGATGTGCTAAATAAGGTGGCAGTTATTTACAAGTCCTGTTGATTACAGTCAAGTAATTTCCTCTTGTTACACTGGAGTTATGTTGGTGCTATGTAATGCAAATGTGGCAATACAGTAAAATGTCTCCTTAGCAGCTCTACTACTCCAGTAAGAACATTGGTTATTTGCTGGGGTTTTGGTTTGTTTTGGTTTTTTTTTTTTCCTGGGAGGTGGGGAAGAAAAGTCTCTTTATACTGTGCTTCAAAAATAGTCACCAAGGCTAAAACTAATAGAAAAATTAAGCCAGGTCTGAGCCTACCTGGCAAAGCACCAAGACTTATGTTTAGAATCAACAGCCGTATAAAAGTTTATCTTAATAAATACATAAGCTTTAGGCAACATCTGAGTAACAGCACAGACCAAGGAGGCTGCTGTGCCAGCTGCCTAGCTTGTGCTGCAGACTTGGCTCATTTTCCTATCCTCCCTCTGAGTTCAGATAGCAGCAAATGTTGAGTTTTGAAAACCGGGTTTGTTAGGACAGTGGTGATGCTCTGTCTGGGCTGTGAGGTTGAACACTACTGGGCGTCATGCTTCTGAGGGTGATAAATCAAAAGGAGAGCTATCCTCTTCTTATTTTTCTTCTGATTCAGGCTTGGACCTGACACTTGCATCAGTTCTTGCTCTTCCAAAATCTCACTGGCCTGACATAGTGATAATTGAACTTAATTCTGGTCACAGATAAGAATTTCCCCACCACCTGCACATGCTTTTAGTCTTTATTTAGTTACGTGTATGTGGTGGTGGTGCAGACTTTTTGAAATTGATGTGAAGCTGCCTGTGGTTTTTAGGAATACTGCAACTGCCTAAAGCCTTTAAAGCACTTTATTGTCTTGGGGGTATTTTATTCATACGCATTGAAATAAATAATTCTGAAAAGGATCTTTACTTAAAAGGAAAATTAATTTTTCAACAACCTTCCAGGTCCTTTCTCTAATACTTAACTAATTTATCAAGGAAAATTTATCCTGAACTGATACTCACAAGCTTGGAAAACGTAACATCTTTTGGAATACAGTACTTCTAGAAGTGTCTCACCTTTTTTCAAATAAGTCTTTGTACTTGCTTCAGTTGTATGTTCTAAAGCCCCAAATGTGGTTAGTAAGTACATACAGTTTACATGATGTACTATGTACACATGTACAATATAGGGTACTGGCGGGGGTAGTTTGAAGGCAAGTGAGCATCCCTTTCCCAAATTCAGCATGGCATAGAACAGGCCAGTAACACTATGGAGATGTTGGAGTTTGATTCTGATTCCAAAATGCCTCGTTGGTCCATGCTTAGTTGTCATGAAGTATGCATCATCATGATGAAATAAAATACTGGTGCTTTTGTAATAATGCATAAACATTGTTTTTGGTATCCCACAGAAAGTTTTCACCTCTTGTTGACACAATTTTTATACTTTTTTGGCACAGCTGGTTTTTAAATATATGTTGACTGTAGTATCAGAGCTGTGTATCTACACAAATTGCGTGTTGCTGCTTCAGTTACTGTAGTGAAATGTTTCCTCTTAGCTGCTATACATAATTGTGTGTAATACTGTCCATAATATACATAAAAGCAAATCCAGTGATATTATGTAATGGTAATATTATTATGCCAAGAGCTATAGCCTTATTAATAGTACAGAGTTAATTAGGATTGGAATGAGGCTTTTTCTTTGGTAATAGGAAAGCAAATTTAAGCAGCTTTTATAGAGCAAATGAAAGTAGCATATTTAGCAAAAGTTCCACTTGAATCTCTAATCTCTTTAAGGGAAAAAGGCTTATGTGATTTGCGTGATCCTCTCCTCTCCCTCTGTCCATCTGCTTTAGCAAGGACAGTGACCAGGTGTGAGAGAGATACCCAAGCTGGTGCTGCCGCAGTGGAAGCATAGCATGCTTTGTTGTTAAAAATTGATGAGCCACGCGTTCCCAGGTTTTATGGGGACCTGGATCAAACAGGGGTATGATCCTGCCCATCTGATGGTAGCCTGCCTTGAGCTGCTGTGTTGCAGGAGCCTGACTGGTGACAGAGGTCCTCTTGAATGTGTTGTGCTAATGTTCAGAGTACACACTTGGACACAGTTTCAGATTTTCCGAATTGGTGTCTTCTTTCCAAAGACTGTGGCTTCCCAAACGGGACTGGGGAAATCTCAACAGCTCTGTGTTTCTGGCTCTTCATTTGTGTAGCACTCCAACAAAAAGCAAAGTAAGACTCCTGGATGTCCTGTCTTCCTTTCGTCCCACTGCACCCTTGGGCATGCGCATCCTATGTGAAGGTAGTTGTCTCAAAGCTGCAGGTGTTTCTTTTGACTTTCTCTGGAAAACAACTGTTTTTCCAGTTCTCTCACTCATCCCTTCTTCCTTGGTAGGTATTTCTGTTGTTCATCAGTTATTGCTGGCACTTGTGTACTTGGCACTGATGCAAGCATCGCTGCTCCAGCCCCTGGTGACAGTGGGTCTAGGGACAGGCAGTACTGCAAGAAAGGCAACACATATTTACCAATGTTAAGTAATACATACATTTGCAATTTCTTACTCATCATAACACACTAGCACAGCAACACAATCACCTGCAGTGAAAAGGCTGGTAATTCTTTCAGTATGAAGCAGTAAAGGTGGCTCTGCTGCCCCATTCATCAGTGGGGTGTATTTTGGTGTGTAGGTGAAATCCAGAAGCTGTTGACGTTGGAAGGAAAGGGAACTCTGATCAGGTCCCACTCCTATGTTTCAAAGTCTTTTCTGACTAGAAACTCTATCACTGAAGAGTGACTGAGGTGACTTGTTTGTTGTCCGACAACTCTGCTAGCCAGCCTGAAGTGAAGTAGCCAGGATTGTGGCTGCTGTAGCCTGAAGCTGGGATGAAACATGGTGGGAAGCTCTGCATCCCCCTCAGGTCATTAGGAGTATTTTGGCTCAGATGAGGAATAGCCTGCCTAAAGTATGTCAGTGGTCCTCTGATGCTGAAGGGTTTGCGCTGGGGTTGGAGCTGTCTCGTACTGTGTCAAACAAGGCATGAGCATTTTAGGGGGTGAAGCCTATCACTTTTAGTGGCGTGGGAGGAAACAAATGTTATGTTAAATGGTGTTGCAAGGTCAGCAATGCGACGTGGGCTCACAGACCTGCTCCTGGGTAGCAGTTTCCAGGATCATTGGGTGTTGCAGCAGGAGAGTGCTTTGGGGTAGGATTTGAGAGGATAATACAGCTTTCTGGATACCTACAGGATGGTCATTCCTGGTGTGATAGTGCTCACACAAAAGCCTGCTTGGACAGTCACGGCTGATGTCTTTGTGGCATGAAGTTCAAATTGGTCTTGTAGCCATATGGGACTGGTGATGGAGCTGAGTTGGACATGAAGAACTGCACAAGTTTTCTGCAAAGTGAAAGGGATGGAGAAGGGAGAGCAACCCACTGCATAGAGGATGAGTGTGTGTAGACGTACCCAGGCTGGAAGCAATTGTCTAAGCAGCTCTTACCAGTGGTGAGAATCAGTTCCCTCATCTGATCTGGTGTATGTGACCACAGTCTCAGGCTGAATCAGGTATAACTTGTTCTGCTGAGTCCTTAGTATCCTGAACGCTTGCCTGAAAATATCCATGCAGTTGTTAACTTCTAAGATATGTACAGTGTAAGTAAAATGTCCATGGATAATTAGAATTGATACTGTCTATGGTAAAAGTAAGCTAAGTAAAAGACTGAAACTCTGCTGGGAGATAACTGTATTATTGGAAATAACAAAATAAGGTTGAAGTTTTGCCCTGTGATTTCTGTGGACTGTTTGTAATATTTTCAGACTAGGATCAAAGATACAATTAAAGTAGGACTTCAATCCTAATGTAATCCAATTGTCAGCAAAAAGATTCAAATTTTACAAATGTTACACAGGACTAGATTATCACAGAATTATCTTGCATTTGTGCTGGACTTTACTCTTGTCAGGTATGTTCCAAACATCTAATTGTGTAAAAAAAAAAAAGGCAATGCAGAACGTAATGTAAAAAAAAAAAAAAAAAAAAAAAGGCAATGCAGAACGTGGAAAGTGCAATGCTTAGTTGTTAATGCTTCAGAAAAGCTAAGAGTCAGATGCACAACAGATTGGCAAGTACAAGACAAATTTCCATGGTTTGATCCACTCCAGTGTAAGAATGTGATGCCCGTTAATACTCCACTACTTTTTCCTCACTGTAATAATTGATCTTTTGTTAAAAGTATCAGTCTCTGTCTGGTTTTGGAGTTCTGTGCTCCCTGTTGGAATACTCGTGGATTTATGAGACTGTAGCAATTACCTAGAAAGCAACAGATACTATGTACTTGATTAGTTTTCAGGACAAACCAAACTGGAATAATGAAAAAACCAAAATCAAACCAAACCACAGACCCATCACCCTTAAGTTAATGCTTTTGATTTGGGTAGAAGTGGTGCCTTCTTTCAAACCAAATGCTAGGTAAATTACATGTTTTGCATGTCAGATGCTTACATACACCTTTAGATTGGTCTCTTGTGAAGTGGAAATCCTTGTGGTTAATAAAATTGATTTCCCCATAGCTAGATAACTATATGTAGTATCATCTGAACGTTTCAGTTAATAAGAAAATCCACATGTAACCAGAGCGTTACGTTACCTACTCTGTCCTTCGGCTGATAAAGGGCTACGTCTTTCAGTTGTTGATGATCATCTCAGTTTTAGGAGGGATCTTGAGTCAGGATTTAACCAAATAAAACAGACAGACATCGTTTGGTGCTGGGTAAAAAAACTGCATCTTCAGTGTTTAGACTGCTTTAATTGTATGTGTGGTAACTTACAGAGTGGATTTGATATTATTTTGGAGTTCAGAAAAAATGGTAGTGAGATAAAGTAGTTTCATACTCTTTCAGGTAAAAAATATTGTAGTTCTTTATACAAAACCCCAAATTCTTGCAAACCTTGTTGAATTTGCAGTTCTGCAGAGTGCACCTCAGCTAAGAAGGCAGCACTTTGGGGAAATGCTGTGTGAAAATTGACCAAAATCCATGGACAGCACAAAGCAAAGCCCATGCCTAGGCTGCTGCTTTTAAAGGAGATTTAATGTTTTACTTTGTATGTTGGTACCTTAAAGCTTAAATACCCACTCTCTGTTTTCTAGACAGAAGCAGTCTCCGCCAGCCAAGAAACCAGCAAAAATATTTCACAATGGATGTAGATGATGAAGAAAACATGAGTAAGATGTGCTTATTTACACAGTAATAATTGTTTCTGAAGGTGACTTTTTCTCATGAGTACAGGGATAACTGTGAAATAACTTCGGAAGCACAAATTTAATTTATTTCTTTTTATGTTTTAAAATACGGTATAGAAGAGTGAATTGGAGCTTTTGCATTGAAAGTGTTTTAAATACACATAGTTATACACTAGTCTAGTTATACCTTGCGTCTCTTTTTTTTTTTTTTTTAGACGAAGGAGATGGAGTTGAAGTGTATATGAGGGAAGGCAGAAATGGAGGAAGCTTCCTTCAGCAAAAGGAGGAGCTAGAAGAGCTCCCCGTAGGTCTTGTATGGCTGATTATTCTCATTAGATGCTGATTGTTCCAACCCTGAGCTACTGAATTATGAAAATGTGTTCAAGCACAAAAATAGTGAAATATAGTGATTGTCTTGATGCATGCACTGGCAAAGTGCTGTGAGGTTGCTGACTCTGTGGTATAATTAAGATCTCATAACCTGTGGAGAAAACAGTTCTCATCAAAACACTATAAAAATATTTTTGCTATTATTGGCCTTTCAACTATCTTTTTTTTTGTGAATGAGAGAAATGTTCTGTTGCTGCTATGCTGATGTGCTATGCTTGACTGTAAATAATTGTATATGATATAATAACAAATGTGCTTGGAATATGCTTGCTAACACTTTCTTTTCCTTAGTATAAAAGAACTTACTTCAGATAGATGCTTTAGCTATTTCTAAAAGTGGTCTCCCTAAGGAGGACTTCAAAAAAGTAAGAGCTGTAATTGGATAATTTACATAAGATAATTTTTTTGATAAAACATCCCCTTATCTCAAAAACATCCCCTTATCTCAATATGGAATATATCTGAGCACGAATAAAAGATGCCTTCCTGAGCTGGAGAAAATACTGGAGGGGCATTCTGTAAGTGTCCCTAAGCAAAATACTAAATTTTTGTCTGCTTCTGGGTTTTTTTTGTGTGTTAGTGAATCAGCATGGGAAGGGATTCACTGAACATTTTGTCTTGGTCAGTAGGCTGGCTCCATGGAGTTGTTATAGGTTTGAGGCAGGCATTTGTATAATCACAGTTGTCTCCCAGAAGTATGTTTTGAGATGTTGTCTGTACCATGTTTTTGAAAGGAAGCTACAGATAACTGTCTACTTGGATGAGCCCAGTTAATAGAAGGTGCAAGAAGACCTTCCTGTGTCTGTCTGCCCGCACAAACATCATGAATTTGAAATGTTAAATTACCAGATTTGGGGGGGAGAAACCAAAGCTCAAATTCTTAAGTTTTTCACCTTGGTTTGTGCAAAGATATTAAAAAAAAATCTTTCTATATTTTTATATCTCT